TTCTCCATCGTTCTGAACAAGTTTCTAATTATTCGAGTAGCTTTCATCTTTCTCCGCTGTTCCCCTCCGATGCTAAACCTCATTCCGACAGCTATGATATTGAGCTTGTTGACCATGATGCATGGCGGGTTTCATCGGGTTTGGCACTAGCAGGGCGAGGAACGGAGGGGACTGCATCGGAATCCAGTTACTTATCGGAGGAAGTGGTTGATGAACCGGTTGATAATTGCTCTCTACCTGTCGAGGATGACCCGGATTTTGATGACATTGATAATATGAGGATTCGAGGCAGTCTTTTCTATAAACTCGACCGCGATTCCAAAGAGTTTGAAGAGTATAATTTCGACTTTCATCGTAGAAAGAAGTCTTCTAAGCAGAAGGATGATCCAAAGGAAATTAAAAGGAAGAGTAATGAGCTCAAAGAAAGCAAAACAGACAGCCCAATTCGGGATTTATTCTCTAGAAGTGAGAAACAAGGTAGAATTGCCAACAATTCTCAGCTTGATGAAATGGACACTGCTTGTGTTGGGAAGAAGAAGCTGAGGACTCCGACTTATAACCAGCTAACAGGTCCTTTCCATGAGCCGTTTTGCCTGGACATTTACATATCGAAGGCGTCTGTTCGTGCTTGCATTATTCACCGAGTGACCAGTAAGGTTGTTTCTGTGGCCCATTCCATATCAAAAGACATGAAATTTGACCTTGGTTCGACTAGGAACGCAGCTGCTTGTGCTGCTGTTGGGGCAGTTCTGGCTCAGAGGGCATTGGCTGATGATATCCACGATGTGATTTACACACCAAGGAAAGGGGAGAGATTGGAAGGCAAGCTTCAAATTGTGCTTCAGTCTATCATTGATAATGGCATTAATGTGAAGGTAAAGTTAAAGCAAATAACAAGGAAGAAACCCAGTTCCTCATATTCAGCTTAGGAGCACATGGTGTGCTATTCTGATGAAGCCAATCTTGCTACAATAAGATCCGTATGTTTCATTTGAAAAGAAGAAAAAAATCCATGTTTGTGATTTCTACATGGCTGGATGTTCTGAGCTGTTAAGGTGGTGAATTCAATTCATTTTATGAGATATAAAAGCTGGCTTAGCCAATTCAACAACAAAAGTTCTCTGATTTGAAATGACTTTCCGGGGAGCTCAGCAATCAGCCTGGTGGTGTAAGATACAGGTAAACAGGGCACTTTATCGTGTTCATTGCAGGCACTTAATTCCCTAGCATTGTTAATACAAATTTAGGATCATCTTGCCATATCTCTTGTGGAACTATTGGTCTAAATTTCCTTCTTTGTAATCTATAAATTATAATAATTATTTTTTCTTTCTCTTTCTGCATTGTGTATGCAATGTGTCATTATTTGGAATGAAGCCGGAGAAATTATTGCACTCATCATCTGTTTAACTGAAATAGATTCTGTCACTGAGCTCTGCCATTTCACTAGGAGGAGCAAAAGCAATAAACTTCAGGTATATATATATATATATACCTGAAGTTTATTGACTTAAACAAAACACAAACTGATAGCAGCAGCACATACCATTTATAATTGATAAAACAAAACTAAAAGGCAGGCCTTTAGATTTAGTTGTATTCAACAAACCATAACTCAATACGAACATGGGTCAAATCAAAAACCCAGTTGCCAAAATCCAAAATTTCAGTCATTAGCTGTTGCTAATTGCAGTGATAGCAGCTCATCTTCTGGAATGGTCTTAATGTGACAATCCGACTGTGGGTACGATACACACAGCAAGGTATACCCACCTTCCACCACATCATCACTCAGCATACCTTCATTCTGATCAACCTTCCCACTCAGAAGCCGTGCAGGGCAAGTCATGCACACCCCAAGCTTGCAATCATGCGGCACAGAAAGCCCAGACTCCAATGCCTTTTCTAGAATGGTCTCATCAGCCTCCACCTCCAGCTCAGTAGACAAACCCTCGTGCTCTACCACCACCTTGTATGATCCGACGGTGCAGGATCGCCGTGACCGGTGGCGGGGCCGGATATTGAGCTGAAAGGAAGCAGAGAGTCTGGTTGTGTGTCGTTGTTTTGGGAGAGTGAAAGAAGGAGATGGAGTGAAGTGAAGGGCCGCCATAGTGTTGGGTTTTTTGAGGTGGGAAATGAGGGGAAGGTTTTTGTGGTAATGCAGCTACTATGCTAGTGATGTTTATGGTATGGGTAAGGATAAGGTTTTGTAAAGTTGGTGTCTTGTTTTGTGGTGGTTTGTTTAGGGGTTTGGGTTAAAATTGGGTTTGGAAACAAAACAAAAAATCTTACTGGGTTTTACATTTAAGCCGGAGCCCATGTCATCCAGTGTGCAAATTTACATGGAAAAAAGTTGAAGTGGAAATGACAATTTTTCAAACCAAATAACTCTTTCATATTTCATAGTCTATGCATTGCATAAACATGTGAACTTTTTTTTACTGAGATAAATTTGTATGATCAAAAAAATCCAAATTTGGAATTTGGAATTTGGAAGCTTGTGATCAAATCCACATCGCTTACCGTGTTTGCCCAAAAACAGTTACAGGGCCAGAAAGCAGGCCAGATTCCATAAAAGGCCCCCCAAAAAACGAGAATAGTATTTATGATGTCATATTTCAGAATCACACGTATATATATAGACGATAATTGGTTCTGGCAGCTTCATTGCTCCATCTTCTTAACAGGTCTCGAGGTCATCAGCTGTGAGGTGGTGCTTCTCTGTTAGTGTCCAGGTGATATCCTCTGTCTTAATCTCTTAATTAATTGTTAATCATACCTCTAGAACTCATCTCGTTTCACTGATCGCGTCCGCGATAAGCTTATGATTCTGCAACTGAACTCGTTTCTGGGGTTTTCAGAACCAAACACGTTAAAACCAGCAACAAAATCCACTTTTCTGATCATAATCAGATAACGAAATTCATAAAAGAAGGGAAATTAAAACATATTAAAGAATATTCGTTAATCTTTAATTCAATTCCCAATTGATAGTTGGTTGCTAAATGATTGTTTTAGACTTTTCTGTCTTAGGTGGATTTATTTATAAAAACAACATTTTAAAGAAAAATAACTTTCTTTTCACCAAAAAAAGAAAATAGAACAATAACTTTCTTATGAAAAATTAATTTTTTGTTTTTGTTTTCGCTTGCAGTAATCTGCACAGAGAAACAAAAATGGCAGTTGAGAAGGCTGGCATAGCCAAAGATGTTACTGAAGTAAGTTACCCTGGTTTTATGTACACTAAAATGAGTTGGTGTTGAGTGGTTTGTTTATGATGATATAAACCTCTGTTTCATTGTTTATAGTTAATTGGAAAAACCCCATTGGTGTATCTGAACCATGTTGTGGATGGTTGTGTTGCTCGTATCGCTGCCAAATTGGAAATGATGGAGCCCTGCTCTAGTGTAAAAGACAGGTATAGACTTTGAGTTGCATGTCTTTCTACTTGGTCTTTTTTTTTTTTGGGTTTTCCAAGGTATCCCCAGGCATGGTCCAGGCCTAATCCTCCGAGGTACTGTCGAGCGCATATGCGGGGACCTCTCCCAAGAAAGTTTTCTGCATCCACAAGGGCTCAAACCCGAGACCACTTGCTTAAGCGACTAGAGCCCCTTCCACTCTGACCAACCTTCATTGGTTACTTGGTCCTTTTTCTTTTGTTAATGATTATGCTTACTGGTTTCAAGGCAGCGATGACTTGAAAATATTGTGTTTTGATGATTTTTTAAAGGTTCCTAATTATGGAAAAAAAATTATGCAGGATTGGCTATAGTATGATTGCAGATGCAGAGGCGAAGGGGCTTATCACACCAGGGCAGGTTGGTTGTTTGATAGTTGGGTAGGAGTGTTATGTTTTGAAGAACTTGTGCATGAAAAAGGGGAGGCGGTTTATGTTTTGAAGAACTTGTGCATGAAAAAGAGGAGGCAACCGCCTCCCCCGTATTCCATGCTTAGTTTCTCCACTAGCATGTTTCTTTTTTCAATTGCTATTGACGAAAAAGATGCAACCGTGCTTTTAACATGGGATGTTTTAGCTAGAAACATAAGTGGTCTGCAGTGTCTGTGAAATTGTGAATAGTCTGAATTTCGTATAACTACCACATTGTTTGGTTTAACCAATATTTTGAGCATGCTAGATGCATGAGGAAAGAAAAGATGATTTGAGATTTTGATTTGATGGAAATTGTGAGCTGACAGATATTACTTTGACTTTGGTTGGTCTGTTTTCTGAAGAGTGTCCTCATCGAGCCAACAAGTGGTAATACTGGAATAGGGTTAGCCTTCATGGCAGCAGCTAAACGCTACAGGCTTATCATTACAATGCCTGCTTCAATGAGTCTTGAGAGAAGAATCATCCTCCTGGCCTTCGGAGCTGAGTTGGTTCTCACAGATCCTGCGAAGGGCATGAAAGGTGCTGTTCAGAAGGCTGAAGAGATACTGGCTAAGACACCTGATGCCTACATCCTTCAACAGTTTGAAAATCCTGCCAATCCGAAGGTGTTTGCTCAATAAATTCCATAGCATATGTAGCTGATGCAACTTATGAGGAAAAAACAAAAGTGGTTTTGTGTTTGAAAAAAAGTTATGTGATTTGTGTTATTGTAGGTGCACTACGAAACCACTGGACCAGAGATATGGGAAGGTTCAGGCAAGAAAGTAGATGCTTTTGTTTCTGGGATAGGTACAGGTGGAACTATAACAGGTGCAGGGAAATTTCTAAAAGAGAAGAACCCTAGCATAAAGGTTAGCTTTGAGTCTTAGCTTGAACAATAGTCTCTATTTTCTTCCTGTTTAAATGCTCTCTTACTTTGTCTTATTGTTTTTCTTTTCCTTTAATGTTAGCTGTATGGTGTGGAACCAGTTGAAAGCCCTGTCCTAACTGGAGGAAAGCCTGGTGAGCTATACTGCATTGCTGCTCTGAGATTATTTGCATGCCTTGCATAATATAGTACCTGCAATTTATTTAGTGACCTTTTCCATAGTTTAGGCAAAAGTTTAAGCAAGTAATGAACTGTCTAACATGCTCCTACTTATCGAAAAAAATGCACACTAACAAGGCTCATTTGTAAGAACCATTTTAGGGAGTGGGTGAAGTGCAAAATGTGTGTTCTTTTATGAACATTCATTAGCGAAATGGAAATAATTAAAGTATAAGCAACAGATGTTCATAACTTCATATAGGATTTACAGTCTCAGGAATGTGATACTTTCTGATGGAGATGGGGCTGTAATAAACAGTTGAAGTACTAATCTCAGATGTGGCTGATAGCGTAGATGGGAGTTTCTCTGAGGGATAATCAGTTACTACTTTGGCGGAATGAATCTTCTGCTTATGTTCTTTTAGTGATAGAATGTTTAAAGACTCTTACTTTCTGTAGTGTCTGCCTTTCAACTTTAATTGGCTTCTGAATTATATACTGCAAAGTTTGTCTAGGAGATAATCCTTCTAGTGCTGAGCTTGGAAACCCAGTTCCACCACATAGTGCAAATAATTTGGATTTCCTCAAGCTTATGCATAAACATACATATCTTCAAATAACTATTAACTGATGAGTCTATTTATATATGGAGGTTGATTCTATTTTCTTTTTAGCTCCTTTTTGTTTAATCTAGTGTCAAAATTTAAATGTTCTTTTATTTGAAATAGAAGAAGGAAATCTGGTATTTGCATGTTGTTGACGTTAATTATTATACTCATTCTAATTTAAAGGTCCACACAAGATCCAAGGAATAGGAGCTGGTTTTATCCCGGGTGTTTTGGAAGTCAATATCATTGATGAAGTTGTTCAAGTAAGGCTCAAAGGTTTTGTATTGATCTTTAGTTCCTCAAGTGCATGTCATATTATATAAATCATGACATTTTTATTTGTGATATAATCATTCCTATAATGATGCACAGGCTGGAAATATTGTGTTTGGTGGCGTTATGATATCAAAATTTATGAATGGCCATTGATTTCTGTGAGCTCATGTAAACACACCCATTTATTTTTCATTTGGAATGCCTGCGTGATGCCAAAAAATGTCCAAACATAATCTAATTTCAGTAACTGGGTCATAATCTAATTTCAGTAACTGGGTGTCATGCACATTAAAATGCATTTTTACTACATGCTTTGAAGCTATTACTTTTATGACTCCATCAATAGGGAAAAAAAGCATCGTTATAAAGGATAAGATAGAAAGCTCAAGGGCACTTACACGTCGATTATTAGTTTGTCTTAACAGCTATAACTGCTTCCTGTTTTACCAAATGTCTGTGATGTGTTGCAGATATCAAGTGATGAAGCAATTGAAACTGCAAAGCTTCTTGCACATAAAGAAGGTTTGCTTGTAAGTTCTTAACCTAACAACCACCTGTAGTGAGTTAGTATTTGTGTTTTTTAAAATTTCTGTCATATTTATGTATCAATCATTGTATGTCAGTCTTTCTTTTGAACTTATTGCATTATCTTTCCAGGTCGGAATATCATCCGGAGCTGCTGCTGCTGCTGCGATCAGGATTGCAAAGAGACCAGAGAATGCTGGAAAGCTCATTGTTGTAAGTTGGATTTTATTTCTTTTGACCTTGTGTTGGCATTTTATTCAACTGCTAATTTCTCTCTCCATCTACTTAAATGCATTGTAGGTGATTTTCCCAAGCTTTGGGGAGAGGTATCTGTCCTCTGTACTGTTTGAGTCGGTGAGACGGGAAGCTGAAAGCATGACTTTCGAGCCCTGAGCTGTTCCCTTGTTTCTGGCTGCTTCAAGTTTCAACCAGTGAATCTGAATTAATCAGGCGTCTCAAGTTAAAATAGGATTATTCCCCCCACTTTTTTTTTTCCTGTTTTAATCTGAAAACATGGTCTTTAACCTTTGAACCCTGATCTGTTGTCTGGTTTTAGGCTGGTTCATTATTTTGACTAGTGAAAACATGGTTTCACGCACTTCTGAAGTCAAAGTTGGAACTTGTATGATCGTGTTTCCTTTTCACTGTTTCATTTTAATAATGAATCTGCTAAAGAGATTGATTAAATTTGTTTGACAAAATAAAAGATATGCTAGCGTTAGTCGTGTGACATTATGGGGCCCAAAAACATCTACAGATGTGAGTGCCTGAGGTAAGTTACGCTGGCATTCTGCTTCAAAATCGACCCTGCTAATGTTATGAGGATGCATAGTTTTAAGATAGCCACACCATTACAGGGGCTCCTTGTGAAATTACAAGTTTTTACCAAATCATGCCAAACAAGCTTCAAACCACCACTCACTCAACTACTGAAATTCGAACTTTGCACGACATTGGCAAAAACATCTCCAGCACGAACAATAACAGACAACAAATAGGTCATTTGAGTTTGACACCGCTAACTATAAGTATTTTCTTTCTCCTTAAAAAAAATAATCTTTAAAGCGTTCATTATTTTGATCGGTTTTAGAATTTGAACTTCTGGTAAACCAAACCAAACCAACATAGACATAGCGGTAAGATCTTTATCCGTGACCACAGTAGATTCCTGATGAATAAGAGCAACACGGACTTCATTACTACTATTCTGGCAGTATCGACACCAGAATTTGGTTTCCATTGGTTTCACTTTTACTTACATACAGAATAAGTATTATGAATCCATGCTATTTATGAACCCAATGAAAACCCTGCACCCACACCCCTAACTACACTAGTTCGACCTACGATTCTATTCTTGTCTGAACTCCCGGGTCAAAAGTCACACCTCAGATCAAATGAAATCCTTGGACAGCAAATACAACCCTGTTCAAGCAGAAAACGGTTTATGTAGATTATTTGAGAATAAAATAACATGTCTTTTGTTACTGTCAAACAATCTGAAACTACCTTGAAATTTTTCTCCAAAGCTCCGTCAAAAACAAGTTTATTTACGGCCAGTAGCAGAACAAATTGGACAAAATCCCAGGCCAACACATGTGACCCACTTGCCCATTACGATACAGTACTTACAGGGGCAAAGATTAATTTTTTTAAGGTCAACTCCAAATTTCAGCCAAAGAGAACTTCAAGTTTTAGGCTTCTTTGGTGTTCCTGAACTTTCGGGCTCAGCTTTGCGCTTTATCCCCAGATAGTTTTCAACCTGAAAAAAACAATAGAATATTATTTCTATTGGAAATTAAAAAATGGCGAGGGAAAAGAACATAAAAAATGGATGAATAGTGATAATCTACTGCATTCTACTACAGACTATCAGCCAGTTGTGCAGCCAATGCACTTGTACTATATGATCTACAGGCATTTTAAATGTAATATGTTTCATTCCCAAGCTCTCAGAAACTGAGAGTTAACATTTCATCAATCTGCTCCCCCCTACCCCCTTCCCCTCCTTCAAAACACTATAATCAATCGAAGTACAGAAGGAATGTGTGAATCACAAATCAGGCTATTTTCTGTCTGTGGACAAATTAAAATTTCACGATCAACCTCCACATCAAAATAACTAATAAGTTGCCAACTGGAAAAGACTGGATCCTGTGAATATCAGTCTATCTATACATATACATCAACATCATGAAATTAGGGCAAAGACATATACACTTACCTTTCTGTCACCAAGCATGGGCGTCAAGCCCCCTGGGAAATCTTTCTCAACTGTAGCAAAACCACTTCTGGGATCGCTCGTTTGCCTGGCAACATGAACAGAGGGGGAAAAGGGTAAATCAATTGGGGATACTAATGTTGAATAAAAAATAGAAAGGTTAAGGCAGGGAAGCCTATACCACAGCTCATGCTTCTTTATCCAATTCTTTAGAGAATTGAGATATTCACGTTTTAGAGAATTCATTGAGTCATTTCTTAACACATTTGATTATTACTATGATTATTATTATTATTTATACCAGGAATCCAAGAATCAGCTTCACTGACTTGGCTTTGAAACTGGGCACCCTGCCGAACCCAGCAATCTCTGGGAGGCAGGAAACACTAGAAAATAGCTAGATAGGTACCTTTTGGGGTTTCAAATTGTTAGCACTACTACTACTGCTACCACTACTGTTACATATAAATCAATCTAGATACCAATGACGGCCTGCCAATGACATACACAGCAGGTAAAGCAGCACTAAACTGCACTGCCTATCAAGGCCACTAACAATCAGATTCATTAAATTTCCCATAATCCATCTTTTATCATAGCACAAGGACTATAAAAATTATCCTAGTGATTCCCGATAACATATGAAAAAGTTGAACACCCTGTTTTAACATGTGAATATCCAAAATAAAGCATGCTATTCCAACACTTACCTACTCCAACTAAGTATATTGATTTTCTAATTTAAAAACTTTATCCAAAACTAAAACATAAAACTGAGTTGAATGAAATAAATGAACAAAGCATACCCTGGTTTAACATGACCACTGAGTACAAGATAGGGTGTCTGCAAGCGAGCTTGAGTGTCCCTCATCCTCTCCGCAGACAGTGATGGTGTATCTGAACTCTTCATCTGTTTTAACTTAAGTTCTTCCTGGTATTGCTTCATTCGCTTTTCTTGCTTCATTTTGCCAGGCCCCTTCCCATGGAACTTATGAGAAAGTATCCGAAAGGCTTCCTTCGGTGTCAACTGGTGAAAACAAGGAAATAAGTTAGCAGTGTAGAATAATACTACATGATCACTGATGAAGCAAAGATAAAACATCCAAAATATTGCCTGCACCACAGCTTTAAAGAACTATAGCACTTCCAAACCCAAAACTTCATGAAATAAACATAGGAATATCTAAATTGACAATGGCTAATATGATGTCACTGATGAAACAAAGATCAGAACATGCATATTCTTGCTTTCTACACAGCTTTTAAAGAACTACACTCCCAACCCTAAAATTTTGCCCGTGCATAAGAATATTATCAATTGACTAAGAATTCTATGAATACCTTCACTGCAGTGTAACACTGTTACTTAGACCATGAAAAACAAATAACATACTGTAAGAGAACTGGGCAAGAGTACTTACAGTTCGGCCAAATTCATCAGTTCTCTCAATGTGAATATCCTTTTCTTGATAGACTTTTGAAGGACGAGTCTCCTTTTGATGGCTGGAAGAGGATGGACGAGTATCCTTGTGTTCATCCCTTTTTTGACGTGATGTATGGGTCTCCTTTGGCTCATCATCATCATCTACAATGCCTAAAAGCTTGCTCTTTTTCTTGTCCATGTTTCTGCCACCCCATTCAATACCTTCTTTAAGGGTTCCCCGATCTTTAAGCAGCTTCAACACACCTGATAAGCCCTTCCCGACCGCAACTTCATGGATAGTTTCATCGGGAACTATTTCCTCCTTATCCTCAGTAGCAGGTTTTTCGTCTTCATTCATATCTTTAACTTCAGTCCATCCACCAGGTTCATTCATTCTTTCTTCATGGGAAGGTTTGGGCTCTTCATCTTCTTGCATAAAAACATCTTCGCTTTCAGGCTTGTGAGATTCTGAAAAAGAATGGGCAACATAGGAAAACAGTCACTTTCTAAATTATACATGCTGTGGAAAAACTTGAAAAAGCTTTAACAGAAACATGAAACTATGATATAGCATCAGAACATTCTAGAATTTCCACTGGTTAAAAAGGCAACAACCAACATCACCTTGAGAACAAATGCTAAAACTTGCACAATGCTCAAAAGTTGACCCACATTAAACAGATAAGATGCACAAAACCAAAGATCAAATCAGCATGTAAAAGCAGCAGGAGCAGCATCATACCCCTCCATGGAGAAATGATAAGTTATCTTGAATTTGGTGAATTAGGATGACAGCCACCAGCTAACTACAAGATGATGACCATTCAGACATTACGTCTAAAGTGGGAAAAGGGAAGGATTCCCACACATGGCCAATAAAGAATCAACTACACAATCACCTAAGGTGGATTAAAAGGCAAAAACACATAGAAATAAAATACCTTCATCAAGCTGGAGGCCCCAGACAAACTCTTCCATCTCTGTAAAGACGACCTTGTTGTCCTGTGACTCTTCAGTTGAGGGGATTTGACTATCGGCAGTCTGACTGCTGGCAGTGGTGGTGGTGGCAAGGAGTGCAATTGCTTGTGGACCAGATGCCGTCTCCTCCTCTTTCTTTTTAAGAGCCAATTTCCTTGCTCTCTCTAAAGATTTATAGAGATCATCGTCATCATCTGCAAAGACAGGAGTTTCATCTTCCTCTGGTTTAACAGAAAGAGTTTGTTCCAGACGCAATGATTTGGATGCCTCATCTGCTTTAGCATAAGCCAACTGGTATGCACTATTTCTCCGTTCAGCTTCCAATCTTTCTTGCTCCTCTTTATTGGCCTGCCTCTTTGCATCATTCCTAGAACCAAGGTCTGCAACACCCAATCCTGCGGACACTGCTTCTGCTTCAAGGGCATCTAAATCTAGCTTCTCCCTCTTCCGCAAGGATTTCTTTTTCCCTTTCCTGGGCTTTTTAAATTGAAGCATTTCTTCTTGAGTATAAAAATCAGATGTGATATTTCCAGACATGTTGAGATCTTCAAAGTGGTTGTTCGTGGGAACACCCTGTATCCTCTTACGCAGCTAATTCAAAAGAAATAACACCACTGTTAGTCTTTTCCATTTTTCTTTGTCTTTATCTAAAAGCAGTAAGATCACATTATAAACATCAAAGGGGCATAACTCATGCAAATTGGAGCATATAAATCATATACAACCAAACTCTAAAAAGATAAAAGTAGGACCAGACCAGACCAGCAGAAACAGAAAGCAATGGAAGCAACAATTGTGAGAACACCATCTCAATTCACCGCACCAAATGTCCTTAAATCATATTCTCTTTTTATTACCAATCATAAAATTATGATGAGAAATAAAATAGTACCTCTTCGAGTTTCTTTTCTGCTTCACCAGTAAAGCGTCCTCTTTCGTCTAAAGTTAACCCCTGAAAATAACATAATTCACATATTACAACCTCCATGCTCAACGTTTCAACAAAATGTTCATGAGAATGAATGAAAAAAATCTCTAGGGTCTAAGCACAAAGTTTGGGAAATAAAAACAGAAAATGCTAACCTCATCTGGGACTGGATCATCATATTGTGGAAGAATTTTCTTCTCTGGATTGAGGTCATCGTTAAACCTGAGACACCATAATACACACTAGTAGTTAATAACAACCAGCACAGTAATGAGATATGTCAGCAAATGCCAAATTATAGAAGATGGCTAGAATAGACAATGTTTACATGTTACAATTATAGTCAACATACTTATCAACATAAATCCCCGTTTTTTTCTTTGCTGCCTTGTAAGCGTCATCTCGCTGCTTCTGCTCTCCAATTTCCACATTCTCAAGCATATCAATGTCTGTTACATTAGGGAAAAAAAAAACCTCTTTAAAAAAATAATAATAAAATAATCCATGCCTATAAGGAGTAAGGCCCTAACAAAACCAAAGTAATTCCAAGCTACTCTACCTTCATTAATATCACCATCTGCTAGAACGTTCTGATCTTTGAGTGTTAAAACAACTGCCCCACCTTCCATTACTTTGTCAAGGCCATGAAGAACTTTAACCCCAGCTAGATCATCTGTAAACAGGTATTTAGAGTAAATGTGGGATCAATCTAACCATGCAACAGAAAAACTACATGGATTGTAAGAGTTATTCAGACATTATTGACGCGTCAACTCAAAATCTGAATCAAACTCTTTAAAATACTATCAACAGCATTGCGTCCCACAACCAGTCACGGTCGAGTCATTGTTACACTCTTATAAACTAGAAATATATAGAAACCAGTGCATATAGACAGAATGTTGAACCAAACCCCTAGAGGCATACAGAATCACAGATACGAGTCCTTAAGATTTATGATTTTTTATCTGGTGCTCAGGTGCAAATCGTGCTCCATAAGTCTACAAGTTCTACATACAATATGCATTCTGTCTCTAACATAGTGTCGCATATGTGCTAAAATATTTATTAAAAAATCATGCAAAAAGAACTAAATTCAAATTCCTGTTGATGTCCAAATGGCCCTTCAACCAACTAGCTTCTATTAAGCAATATTAAAAAAATTCTCAAGTAAGAAGCAATCTTACGAGTGGTATCCTGAGCTGTCTCCTCATCTTCACTCTCTCCTTGACCAATATTGTCCTGAGAAAATACACATAATATGAATGGCTATCATAAAATCAACTAACTGTAAACACAATGCAAAAAAGAATAAAAGAAAACACTATCAAACTAACCTGTTCCTCAAAAATCTTAGAAAGCTGCAATGCTTTCTGCTTTTCAGCATTCCTTTTATCCTCGAGCTTACGACTTCTACCGACCCATGCTAAAACCTCAGGAACATCTTCTTTCTTCTTCTTTAATCTCTCCTCCTTTGTCCTGAGCAAAAAGCAAAACCAATATAACTAAACTGTAACCACAATGCAAAGAAATAGTCATTTTACACATGGCATTGACTGTTAAAAAATATTACCAAAATAAACATAAAAAAAGGTGTCTACGTATGGAACATACATACAAGAAGATTCTGCATTAACAGTAACACAACGGAATATAACTATATTGTCATTCTATTAAGTGTTCAAATGCAATAAAAGACGACTCATGTAGTTGAAAATTGTAAATAAATAAAAAACAATACCCACTCTCCCATAACATCCATCATTCAGCTCCATTTAAATAGGAGACAATAATTCCGAGCAAAGATTGGAATGAGATGAACAACTATAGCGTACTAAAACTGTGTCAATCAGCTGCAGACAAAATCCTCAAGAAAACTTGTCAAATAATAAATTGACAGTTGGTTCCCAGCAGAACAGTGCTTGCATGCAACAATCATCTCTCTGTTCAAATTTTGTAATTTATTTTAATACGATAACCAAATGGAATATATTGGATTGTTATTATCTTGTTAGAAAATATTGATTCAAATTAATATACAACCAGTAGATTTTTTTTACATGTTTCCCTGTTATTATTGTTAATTTTTATAGCAAATTTCCCAAGCATATTATGCGTATTGTATATCACGTACAGGTTTAGAGTGTCCATGAGAACAATTTACATGATTCCTTAAATACATTACAATCTAACTTCTCATGTGCCTCACAAAGAGCATAAAGTACAATAATGAAAAATGAGAAATTAAGCGGAAATATTTCAAAGAATGAAAAAGGTTCATGTGATAAATCAAATATGGAATAAAGAGAACGTATATGAAGATGTACTTACTTCAGGATGCGTTCCTCAAGCTCCAATGCTGATAGATGTGCTCCGCCTGATAAGCCCTCGGCTTTCCGTTCATCCTCAGCATTACGGGACACCTTCCCTTGCTTAATGTCTTTATCCCCGGTATACTCCTCATTTAGCTTAGCTTTATCATCTCTTCCCCCATCCTTGCTCCATTCATAATTCTCATCAAGGCTTCTCCGGTTTACTCTATCTCTTGATTTATCCTTATCTTGATCCACCACCCTCTCCTTTTCCCTGTATTTGTCTTTCAACCTCTCCCTATCAGTATCTTTATAGTTTTCCCTCCCTTTCTCTCTATCTTTATGTTTTTCTCTCTCTTTTTCTCTTTCCTTTTCTTTTGCCCTGTCTCTTTCCTTTTCCCTTTCCTTGTCCTTATCCCTGTCCTTAATCTTTTCTTTCCCCCTCTCCTTGTCTCGTCCTCGATCATTATCCTTCTCTACCTCTCTGTCCTTCTCCCGCTCTTTTTCCTTTCCCCTATCCTTTCTATCTTTCCCCCTCTCATGTTCCATTTCTCTATGACTCTCTCGATCATAATCTTTCTCCCTCACCTTATTATCTCTACTCCTATCCTTATAGCGGTCATCTCTATCATCCTTCCTCCTTTCCTTGCTAGATACTCGATCCTTTTCCGAATCTTTAGATTCTTTCTCTCTTTCCTTTACAAAATCATCACTACTTCTCCTCGACCGCTCCCGGTCTTTACTTCTAGTGTCCTTCTCTTCCCCTCGGCTACTCTTCTTCCGATCCTTGCTGCGATGCCTGTTTGATTTGTCAGTCCCATTCTCATCTAAATCATCAAATACCCCTTCCTCCCGATGCTCTCTCATTGGAGAATCATCTAGATCGTATTCCACATCCATTTGCAACACACTAAACTGCGAAACTCCACGCCTGAATATCAAATAAATCAAACCACATAAACAACTTAAATAACTTTAAAAAGTCAAAAGTATATTAAAGTCCTTAAACAATGGAAGGCAGGCAGTGGGAACATCCAAAGAGAAGCAATTTAAAGCAGTTAAAGTCCAAAATATCAGATGTGTTTGGCAAACTGAGAAAATCACGCAACAAAAACTTCAAATTCCGTCTGTTTTACTTAAAATCTTGCCAGCAAAACAGAAAACGATCTTTGCAAGTAACGTATGAACTTTGAAAACCCTAATCAGCCAGAAACAAAAATAAATTAGCGAATTCAAACAATATTAATAATGCTTAGAAAGAGACTGATACCTTATGACAGGTTTTGGGGTTTCTGTGGCTGTAAGTGTAGGTGGAGCCTAATTCTCTCTCTTTCTCTCTCCAGTATCTTGAAGCCTCTGTTTCGTAACCTTGGCTTAGGCTTTCGATTGGACTTTGATTGATTTGATGAATCGATTGGAATTTGATTGATTTGATGAATCAATCAGAGATATAACAACAATTAGGTTGTAAAATCCGGATTTGGATGGCTCCGATGGCAATTGAGTGCTTGGATTTCTTCGATTTTGGAAGTTATTTGGAAGCCCAATAGCTGAGAATAACGGTGAAGACGGTGTGGCGGATTTTGCTTGGGTTCGAAAGCGGGGAAGTGCAACGAGAGGAACGAAGGAGGTTTTGGGGTTGTTCCGAGTTTGTGACTTTTAACCGAGCCTAATTGTACTCTCCTTTATCTTTTTCTTGTATATGGTGAATAAATTTTTAAACCTACAAAAATTACTTTATTTAAACCTTAAAAGAAATAGGGAGGGAGTTGCACATAAATTATTGGGTTTAGGATGGACCACGACTTCCGTTTGGCCATATACACATACAAGAGGGACTCTTTTTGGCTCCGTTTGGTTAATGAGAAAGGAGATTTGGGAATGGAAAATTAATTGATTTTCCATATTTCTATATTTGGTAAGTCAAGACATGAGAAATTGAGCACATAACCTATATAAATTAGTGAAAAAAACAAAAAGCATGATAAATTTGGGATAGAGGTTTTTTTTTCTTTTCCAATTTTATTTAATTAACATTACACTATAAAATATATTTTAATATTACAACAAATCTATATATATAAAGCAAAAGGTAGAGAATGGTAAAGCATTCAAACTACTAAAAAAATACCCTTGATTAATGTAAACATTAAGAATTGAAATTATTAATTAAATGAGAATAATATAGTAAATTCACACTTTTTTATATTTAAAAAAATAAAATTAAAAGAAAAATTAAATAATGAATCCTATTTTTATGAAATACATTTACCCATTATCTTTTTTTAATTTGAATCCTATTTTTATGAAATACATTTACCCATTATCTTTTTTTAATTCTAAAATAAATTTAATTTTTAAAAAAAAATACATTTCGCAGGCACAAAGAGACTAGTATAAACTCATTCGGGACTTTTTTTTCCCTTATTTTTTGGTGCAAACGAAGGAGGTCTTATTATACGATTTATAAAAAAACTGAATTTTAAGAAAGAAAAAAAAAAACAAAGCGAAGTACTTGGCTTAACCGCTCCTTCGTCAGTCGCCTCGCTGCCACTCTCTATAGTCTACAGAGCCACCGTCTCCCCCACTCTTGTCAAGAGTTTATCGCCTCGCAACACCAGTCAGGTACGCTTTCTTTCCCATGGGTTGTTGTTTTTCTTTCATCTTCTCGGTTTGACTTTCAGACTAAATGTATCTTCTCTTTTGAAGTAGGATCGTAGGGTTTTCAATTCCTTTGATTTTTGAGTAAAGTTAATCAGAAGTGATGACTGGTTAGGTCTAATTGAAACCCCAAAAAAAGAAAAAGCCAAACTTTATGTGGTGAAGGTTTGTGTTGCCGTGATCTGAGTAATGAGGAAAGGGAGTGTTTGGGTATAGCTCTAAGCTTTTCTTGTTGTATTGGATTAGAGCTTCGATTTTGAATTTGAGGTTCCTGAAACTGCATGAAGCAGAGCGATAAAAAAAAAACAGATTAATATTTCATTGCACTGAAATATAATTATTGAGATTTTGGTACTGAGGAGAGTCATTATATGTGAATTCTGGTATCATCTAGTAACCTCTTGAATAAAATACTTAGGAACCAATCTCATAAATTTTTCTCTGAGTTCTTGAACCATGAAAAGATATTTTAAGTGTAGACAACCAATTACAGTATATCTTAAGTTGAATACACAATTCGAAAACGGAAATCATATTTCATTAGTGTTAATTTTACTTTTGAATATGAAGAGATGGCTAGCGGTTGAAGAAAAATAAAGGGACAGTGGGTGGAAACTTATTCTCCAAAGCGACTATGTAGTTTTAACTTTCAACATGTTTTCCTCGCCAACTTCATTTTTATTGAGTAGAGATATAGAAATAGATAAATAGTTTCGAAGCTTTTAGGTTTTAGTAAATAACTATTTGTTAGCCAGTTCAGTTGAATAAATTACTTTTAGAACATTTTTTGTTTTGTTTATTATGTAGAACTTTAAATTCCAGTTCAAGGTACTTTAGGGTTATAAAGAGACTCATTTGAAGACTCAAATTTGTATTTAAGTGATTCATGGATAAGATATTCGAAGGCCGCGAGGTGTCTAGCTTAATATATCAAACATTATAGAGAATCTCATTAAAGGACATATAGTTCCCTTGAGATTAAACATTTTGGAAAAACCATAACAGATTCTACGTGTGTGTATATGTAGTCCAAGCATACTGTACATAGACGAGTTATGAATTAATTACTTTCAAGTTTTTCTTTTCATTTAATTGCTACCCCATGTTGCTGCCTTATTAGGATTAATCATTTGGGATCCTTATTAAGATTGTATGTATGTGCATATAGAGTGCAAGCATGCTAGACATAGACGAGTCAACATTTGGGATGCAGTCGTTTGGCATCCTTAGTTGTGTTGTGGACAGTCGCACAAACTGTAGTTGCATTTGGAATCTCATATCAAAATATACTTGTTTGTGGTCTATCATATTGAAAAATGGTTCCTTAGTTGCAATATTCTGTTTTAGTCATTGAGAATCAAGTCAGTTTACATTACTCGAGGAGCACATGTATGAAATGCATCATCATTTATGGTAGATGCAGCTGCCATATTTTGTTTTTGTTTCTTTTAAATGAAGAAGATTACATTGTGGGAATCTGAAGTATGTTTTCCAGTTTTCTACCACATGCAATATCTAAGCCTTTTTTGCAGTGGTCTAAATTAGCTACTGTTGACTATGTGGATTCCTCATACTCTTGAATACTGTTGTTATATCATTGTAGACAATCATGGCCAGTAGTAAAGCTGACGGAGATCAAAAGGAATATGTTAATGAGCAAGCAGTTGCAAATAAGTTTGCTGCTATGAGGTCAGAACTCAACCAAATTTACTCGAAAATCACTGAGCTAGAGATGGAAGCAAGCGAGCACTCGTTGGTCATCAGTGCCATCCAGCCCCTTGATCCATCCAGGCGATGCTACCGGATGATCGGAGGTGTGCTGGTGGAGAGAACAATCAAGGAGGTCCTGCCTGCTGTGCAGCGCAACAAAGAGGGGATCGAGGAGGTTATTGCTAGGCTGAATGAGGCATTGGAAAAGAAGAAAAAGGAAATTTCTGATTTTGAGGCCAAGTACAAGATCAAGATACGGAAGGAGCAGGGTGAGGAGAAGGACGATAGTGCTCGGAAAGAAGGGACTGCTCAAGGAGTCCTGGTCGGCCCTGCTGGTGGAAGTGAATGAATGATAAGGCTCCTGTTCCTGATGCTCTTCCACCACCTTTGTTTTGTTGTCTTGAACTTGTTAAATGAGGTGTGTTTTAAAGTTAACCAGGTGCTAGAGATTTTGGGTCTTGGTTGATGAGGGTGGGCAGAACTGCACTGAATTATGATTGTATTTGTAACCCTATTTTGTTATGCTTGTCTTTCATTAGTAAGAATTAAGGGGAAAAAAACCATATATTTTGAATATACAATGAATGCTATTGAGTATTGATTTCAAATACTGTATTGACCAAAGAGTGAAATTTCACAATGAAATGAGTCATATGACCCTGCATTACATTATCATGTACAGTTTCACTCTTCAATTAGCATAGCATATGGGCTGGGCTGGGCCGGGTTTGTACCGAACATTATCATATCTCAGACTCTCAGCTGAAAAAATCCTGAATCCCTTTCCCGGCGAAAATCTGGTCGGAAAACTCAGCCAAAACGGCATTGACAGTGAGCAAAACGACGCTGGAGCCAGCAATGACCCCAAGCACCACACCAGTGGTCCCCAACACCTTCGCGAACGCAGGCCACTCGATCTCCCTAACCTCATCCGCCACTCCGCTCAGAAAGTCTCCGTCTTTCTCCTCCTTCCTCTTCTGCATAGCCTCCTTGATCTCCTTCCCCAACTCGCTCAACTCGACGGGTTGACTCGCCGCCGATTCTCCATCTCCCGCCGATTCTTTCTGCTGGGTGCTCACCGATTCGGGCCCGGACTCGGAATTTGCTTGGCTTTCGTCGACGGCTTTGAGAAGCGATTGCTTGCTCTTCGTGTCTGTTAGGGGCCGTCTGGGCTGGAACTGGGAAACTGAATGGTTACCGGCACATGGCGGTTTCAACCGTACGGATGACTTAACGTGACCGGCTTTTGTGGGTAACAGGAAGGCTGAGGTTATCGGGAACTGTACGGACACACGTAGAGCCATGTTTATGGGTGGCCAGGGAAGACGACGCTGCAATTGGATGGTATTGGATTTTAGGTTTGATAGAGGGGGTACTGGCCTTTTTGTTTGTGGGCCCCATCACAGGTTCTGTTAACTGGGTTGGATCATTTTGGGCTTTCGGGCCCAAAATTCAGGCTTGTTGTGACCTGTGACTGGCTAAGCTCTGGTTTTTAGGCCAAATTTTCAGAGAAAGTAAAGCTGTTATATATATATATATATATTTTAAATACAAACAATAATTCATTCTAAATTAATCTAATTTACAAGAAAAGAGATAGGATCTTGAGTCTCTGTATTTAGAGTTCATACATTTACTCGCATTTCAAAATATTTGAACCATTTTAATAATTCAACCATTTAAAACATGACACATCAATATTATATTGCTAACAGAAAATTATAACATGACACATGCATGGAAAATGCACACACTTGAACAGAAAATTACTCAAACAATTGTATCGAACTAACTTTCGATATGTATGAAATTATATTTAGGTATATTTATCTGCTTTGTTCCAAAAATTACCAACCAAGCTTTACAGTTCATGTTTTGACGAAAAGAATAAAATGCTTGAAAGTTGATACATATGATATGAATCATCATTATACCTTAACATATTTATTTGTACACATGAAATCTATTCCAGATTTCAAGTTCTAGAATATAATTTTATAATTAGATTGCAGCAAGTGTAAACTATGTGACGTAAGGAGTTTTAGTATTGACATTGAAACGTACATAAGCTAAAGTCTATGTATGATTTGTACACATGAAATTATGTAAGGAACATTAGTTTTCTTTTGAAGAAAAATATAGGGGTTCTTAGATAGGTCCAATTTTTTTTTTTTGAAGACATTTTCTATTAAGAAGGGCAATAGCACACTAAACTCACACACACTAAATAGATGCTATGACTCGAACTCAAGATCTTTCTTGGGGAAGCAATTATTCAAAACCACTACACTAGTAGATCCTTTGCTAGATAGGTC